ATCAAACGACTGTCTTTAAAATATCACAAAGGCAGCGATCTTTCTTGTACGTATAATGTAAAATACACATCCCAAGAAACTGCATCTTACCTTTACTGAAGAGATCATAGACTCAAACTCTTTCTTCTGATTGAGTAGCAATTCGTCAGCGGCAGCAATCGCGTTCTTCCTATATTACGATACGCCATGTAAAATAAAGACACATTATACCATGAGATGTAAAGTCTTAACTTCAGTTACAAATATTCTAAATTATACAAACCTCTAAGGCCTTTTCGAGCAGTTCTTGATTTTCTTTCTCTCCTCTTCAAGACAATCGTTCAATTTTTCTATTGATTATAAAATCATTTTCAAAAATTAATCAGTCTACTTGAATGAAGTCATTACATGTATGAAGAATCATTATTCGCAAAACAAAGCACAACAGTCTTTCCGAAATGAGGACGATGAAATTCACCAATGAGAAATAAGAGAAATAACTTAGAATCGCATAGATGGTCGAACTACAATTTATAGTTAATCTTTAAGTAAAAAACAGACGAACCATGAATTTGAGCGACTTTGCCTAAGAGTTATTGTTCTTTTTTTTCTTAATAATACTGTATAGTTATATTAGCTACAACCTAGAATTCTCACCTCATATTTCGCCTTTTGTTCTTCTAAAGCATCTTCAATTTTATGCAATCCTTTCGTTTGTTCCTCAACAACCATAAGTTTCAAAGTCTCGCCCTACAGTCACAAGAAATGAGATTAATGTTAACAACGTTTCAAAAAGCATCAAAGATCAAATCTTAAGATGCATCAAGGAACCTTCCTGATTAAGTAGGGGCCGAAATGTGACTCCGCTCCGGTATAAAAGAAAAAAGTAGACTTAAATTTGTAGTGCAGTTTTTAAAAAAATTTATTATTACAGCTTTATGCAGTATAATGAAAGCTACATATATCTTTAATGCATTTGTTCTCTTTTTTACGTCAAATCCCGTGTTAGGTCTATACCGTTTCGACAACCTTTGACTCTGAAGATGACTACCGCTAAGGTTGTCGAAACGTCAGTCAACAACAACAAAAACAGTCATTCTCAGGACTATACCAACCTGGACGATCTACGTTTACAAACATGTAACGATACTCCCGGGTTCAAACCATTTACTTTAAAAACTCGTCAAGATAAAATTTTCGCCAAGTCAAATCTCAAATTCGATTCAACTACCTAACGAAGCAGTTTCCCTGGCGCTGATACAGGCGCTTTGATAAGATAGGTAAGAGTGCATTCAAATATAATGTTCTATTTTGAAAACAGTGGATGGCGCTGTAAATTATGCAAAGTAAAGGACGTAGTTGAAAGAGTTCAAAAAATTTTAAATTGAAAGAATACCATCACTTCTTCGAAACTTTAAACACAGCAGAAAGTAATATTCACAATTCACACTCAACAAAGAAAATGATTGTGTGCACATTCTTCTTGGGACGATCAATCACCTGATGCTTGATGAATTCCGTAAATTTATCTCTCTCTTCTTCAAGTATTTTATGTAAATGTTTCTCATTTCTCTCGCGTTCCTGTGATACAGCTGTTGTCGATAATGCCTTTCGAAATAAAGATGCAGTTGAAAATAAAAAACAAGCCATTTTCTACGAAAGCACTTGGCAAAATATTGAGATGATTATTGGATGTTAAATCAATCAATATTTGTCGGATAGGGAAATTTAAACCTTGTATTCTTCAACTATTAGAGCAAATGACTCTTGTCCAGCTTCTCTCAGTTTCTTAACTTTTTCCTCGTGTTCGTCCTAACAGAAATCACATTAGTAGCAGCCATATGTATAGAGAGAGAGAGGCATAAAACAAACAATAATTTTACTAATTTTAGTACTTACAGTTTATGTCACTTCTTCCACGTTGACAGATGAAATGGTGTGCGTTACTGCATGAAATGTCATTCCATAGTCCATTTGAATACCAATAATTAACGCAATTTTCATTACCTTTGTTATTAGGTTCTGATGGATGCCAATTTGTGTAAGCAGGTTTAACATTTTCGATTGTGTAAAATTTTTTATCACTTTTTTTACGAAACAAACCAATGTAAGGCCGTGTATGATGTTTTCTCTGTGAAAATTTGTAAATGACGTCATTTTCAGCTTTATTCTTTGGAACAGCAAGATCTCCACCCTTCTGTTGACAAATTGTTCTTGCGTTTTGCCATGTTGTTTGTCTCTTACTGAAATAATAACAAGATGTCTGTAGTTCTGTCCAATCAGAAGGACATGGAAGTGCTTCGCTTACTAGACGAATCAAAAAAGTCAATTGCTTAAAAAACGTAGAATCATTAATAAAAATGTTATGATGTGTACGATTTGAAGATATATATAATGTGTAGAAGATATCATAAGCTATAGTACCTTCAAAATTTAACACGATAATCTTTAGAAGAATTATTTGCTTTAACATTTTCAAACCACGAAGAAATTTAATGATACAACAGACTACCATCAAGGACAACGTTTTAACATAATGAGAATGATTGCTATAGTATAATGTATTTATTGATAATGTCCGAGCTTGTTGCTGAAACAAACGCGTAAAGCGTCAATTGTAATACATTATAATGCAAATTAAAGATTTAAAAAATAGACGTTTATCTTCCGTTATTCAAGTAGCTAATTTTAAAACTAAAAAAATCAAACGAATATATAAACGTTTTCTTAGTCATCTTCTTTATATTATGCTTAGTCGCAACTTTCCAAATAATTTCAGCCATTTCAGGCCAAAGAGATAACTGCAAATCACCGAATTATTGTTTTATCAAACCAGAGAATTATGATTATTACAAACAAAAAATCTTTGTTCAGAGTTAATGCACGTCAAATTGTTTTATCTTCTTATCAGATCAGATCACTTGACGTTTTCAATTTGCGAAATCATATTAATGTTAAATATCGCAATTAAAAGCACTGAATATGAGTCGCCAAAGCAGACAAAATTGCTATATTGCAAAAAATCATGCTAAGTGAAAAAAGATCATGCTAATTAAAATTCATAGTTCACCTGCAACACACCAGTAAATCGTAGGGTGAAATTCAAACAATGCGTAGTTTAAAGACAAGACATGGCAAAGGAATAATTTCTCGAGTTTATTTTTTATATATTTTAAAGGATTTCTTCCTCAAATACAAAACGATTTTGCAAAAGAATACTTTTGAAAACTTATTAGTGAAAATGGACGAAGCGTGTGATTTTCTATGGGAGCAAATAAGTCAACTTGTCAAAAATGTTTCGTTCGCCATAAAACAGTATATTGGCGAAGAAAATAACCATAGTTTGTAGAGCCTTAGAAGCCCTAAACTGTCCATTTCTTCTGTCTCGTGTAGTGGAGGTCAGCCTTGCTATGATATTTATGAAGAACAGGTGCTGTTACTTAGGACGATAAATTTTACTTTCTCCCCTAGAAAATCTTCTTGTGCAGGATTCAAACCATTGAGCAACACTATCCAAGTATCACATGCTTTGTCTGTTTTCACTGATGAGTTTTCAAGAGCATCTCAAGAAGCAGATCGGTTATCAATAAGTGGCTATTTTTAATAAATATCTTGAAATATTGCCTCCCTTTCGGTCATCTTTGAGCCGAAATCCCACATCACATGTTGCTGTTTGAAAGCTGGCTAAAAATATAGAATGCGTATCTTGGAGTGCACTAATAATGCTAGGAAGATGAGCCAGATAACGTCAGTGGTATAATGAACACGAAGAAAATAGCAAAAGATGATTGTTCTGGTTTGCTAGAGATGATCGTGGTGTTCTTTTGTGTTTGAAATTGTTGAATATGTATTTTTAGTCTGGTATTTGAGCTGCTATAGCCAGGAATGTTATGCATTCTGTTATTTTTGTATGTTGAGGTTTCCGACAATCATCTCTTGTGTTTCCCCTACCACCCCTGCTTTGTATCATTTTGTTAGTGCAATATTAATATGTCTAACTGTCAGGCATATTAAATATTTGATTGAAAAGCACTATGTACAACTTGTACAAAATAGTACATTGAAATATAAGAAAACGTATTCGAAACTCTCCTAGAGAGCTTAACTTTTTTGAATGTTGTCCTTCTCAGTACATTTTGAATTCTTTAATTTAATATTACTAACGTCATTTCACATTCTGATTATTCACATCCATATTCAACAACTTCCTTTAAAAAAGCACCATTTAGCTTGTTTTACCCATCTGGGATACGGATCCCACTCTGAATAAATAAGAATTTTAATATCTTTAATCAAACAAAGAAAGTTGTGTTTTTTAAACAGTCTAGCAAACACTTTTTATTGACTTTATAAAAGTAAGATGTAAATTGCATTACATTGGTTTAGTGAGACGATTTGAGAAACCAGGTGATAAACTTGGCATTTTTTCTCTGGGAACCATAATAGACATGATTTTTTGCTTTATTTTTTTCAAATCAACAAAAGGGGGATTGTTGGCGTTTCCTGCAATCTGATTGGCAGCAGAAGTGCATGGGTGGAATTTTACGATATCTGACCAAAGGGCTCATTTGTTTCGTTTGCTTTTCATTTTACCAAGGAAAGTACAGCATTTGCAGATCAATTAAGTAGAAAATGAAAATCATTGAAATGAAGGCAATTCAAATGACGCGTTAAGTCAATAGAGCCTACTTTAATACAACTGAAGCAATAGATGGTTTACGAGTTCATTTTCTTCTTTATGAAATAAAAGGAAACAATTCTCTTGAAAATAGTCCTCTCAAGATTTAAAATGCACAAATGAATTTTGAGGAGTGGTGCAGAGAGGCGCACATTTCCTACAAAATACTTCACATATACTAAACAATTAAGTAAAAATCATATATTCATTGGTGTTTATGGAGCGGACTTCCGACAATCTCCCCACCATAATTAAAACAAAACTTTAGCTAGCACCTCAATTCGTTGATGCAGCATGAATAGTACATACTTAACCATACCATACTTGATATTTCATCCAGAATGTTAGGCATACCATTCATGCTGTGATAATTAACTTTTCCTGCAGATCAGTACCATTATTCGCCTTTTTAAAGCTAGTACTCGGCAACGCTTGCTGGTCAGCATGTTCAGTGGGTGCGGCGTTTTTTTGAAGAATCAATGGCTGATAATGCTGGTCAATTACTGCTACGTAGTCCAAGTTCTCTGGTGAATGTTCTGATCTACCTTCATCGTCTTCATTTTGTGTCGGAAGCTTTGGGAGAGGAACGTCCTGTTTATGAATGATTTCACAACGCTCTTCACTAAAATTTGGAGGAATTTTGCCGATGACATCATCGTATATTTGATCTCCATTGTCATGTTCAATTTTTGTCTCAAGCTCAACTACTTGATGTTGTTCCTTTTCTAGAAAGTTTGTTAGGAGTTTAACAAAGACATACAGTCCATGGAAAAAAGACATTCTGCAAAATACAAAGAATGTATTAAGAAATCTATGTCTAATTTTCTGAACAAGTATTCAAACCACAAATATCGTGGAAAATATTCAAAAATAAACCAAAAGGCTACACTAAGATATGACAGAAATCCTTCAACCCTAATACAAAAAAAATAAGTACTTTATACTAAAGCTTTAAACACTTTCGCGCATACGACAAACGGATTCCTTGTAAGAATTACGTTGTAAAAAAATGAATATCGTATTTTGTTTTAATTTACAAAAGCAAGCAACAAGAAAAATGATGACAAAAACACGACACAATCATTAACCAAAATCAACCAATGGTAAAAACTCTTTGATCCCTTCAAAAAATAATTATACAATTTATACTGACACTTCTTTGTTTTCACACTTTATCCTGTAAACATAACCTTTTATAAGAATTTTAAGATAACAAAATGAGTAGCTTACTTTTTTTTGATTTAAGGAAGCAAGCAACGGCAACAACAACAATAATAATAACAAAAACAACAACAGCTGATATTCCAGCTGCAACACCTATGATTGTTGACTCAACAGATGAAGACTTTGGCGAAGTTGGTAAATCTACAGAAAATAATGAAGTAGTCATTGTATTGTCTTTATTAAATTTTCACTACATTACAAAGGGTTTGTTCACTTAAAATGTTTCAAAAAAAAATTAAAATTTCCTCGCACTGCTTTCTGACAAAACAAATAACTTTGCTGTACTAAAACTTTGTTTCATATGCTTATTTCAAAACATATATAGTTTTAGTTTACAGAAAATGCGCGTGAACTACAAATTTCACAATTTCTCTTAAAATAATAAAATATATAACTATTGTTAGGCGATGACATCATTGTAGTGATGTTATCGATGACATTGCTGCGACAAAAATCTTCTTGGACGCGCACAGTGGACTTCATTTATCAAAATAAAGTAGATTAATGAACATCATTTAACCTTTTACACTAAATATTTTTACATTAAACATACTCGAGATTTGATAGTAAGTTTTAGACTCACAATTTGATCATATCACCCTGTAAGTATCAAACCTTTTTCAACATTTGCCGCATGATTGTGAAATTTCAAAGCCGGGGTCGAAAATGCTTCATGTAATCAGGCCCTTAACATAATTTTTAGATACCAACTATAATATCTTACTTGTACACGAGAGTCCATTTCCAGTGTATCCATCGTTACATTGACATTCATAAGAACCTTCGTTATCAGTGCAGTTTGCATTGACATCACAAGGAACATTCAAACATTCATTGATATCTTAAACAAAAACAAACCATTTGTTAGGCAAGTTATAACTATTGCTACATCAACGGTATGTGTGTCTTACTCGTGCAAGAGATCCCATTTCCAGTGTATCCTTCGTTACATTGACATTCAAAAGATTCTTTAGTGTCAGTACAGTTAGCATTGACATGACAAGGGTCGGACAAGCATTCATTAATATCTTCAATAAAAGATCAAAGTTAAATACAAATTATTAATTTGTTGTTTTATCAAAAGCCACCGCTTCTTATTTGTACAACACAACGTTGATTACATTACAAAAAGGACCTAAATTATAAATTATGCTTCCTCGTTATTATTCCTTTGACATGGTTTACTAGCCTGGTTTAATTTGAAGACTTAATCAGTTACAAGTTACATAAATTAATTTGTATAAATCCTCATACATACGAAATATTGCATCTCCGGAATAACCTTTACAACATTTACATATAAAAGACCTTGTTTAATACGATGATAAAAAAAAATGGGACAAAAAATTCATTGATAAGATTGGTGAATAGCCTAAAGAAAAGTATAAGTCCTTCTGTCAACCACAGTTATGTACATGAAGCGATACAAGGTATAGCATGAGTTGAACTTAAATATATCATCTTTAAGATGTAATTGTAATATACAATTAAATTGATAAAGTTATGCTTTTACTGTTCATTGCTGATACTAAATTGTGCATAGATTACACGATATTTTTATTCATGTATGATCGTGGCCATACATCTTTCATTGATGGGATGAAAATTATGTAGAAATCTTTTTACATGATTACGTACACCAAAATCATCTCTTACAATATTTTGACAAGCTCACTTTCATTAATGCGTCAGGAAAAGAAAATTTTAAGTAGGGTTTTCAGAGAAAACTACAAAATTTTAGAGATGAAATAGTATAAATTGAAATCCATTAATTAGCATTGTCATAAATGTTATGTCATAAATGTTATGTTATAAATGTTATGTCATAAATGTTATGTCATAAATGTTATGTTATAAATGTTATGTCATAAATGTTATGTCATAAATGTTATGTCATAAATGTTATGTCATAAATGTTATGTCATAAATGTTATGTCATAAATGTTATGTCATAAATGTTATGTCATAAATGTTATGTCATAAATGTTATGTCATAAATGTTATGTCATAAATGTTATGTCATAAATGTAATGTCAGACAAGAACTTCCTTGTGCCTAGAGCTGTTAGCATGTTAGTATGCGTCTACTTATATCAGTTTCCACGCTGGAGAAAGAAAAAAATTATGAAATTCTCTAAAATTCTAAATGTGTACTTCTACATAATGCTATTAGTGGAAAATTTAGAAAAAGTACAAAACATTGATGATTTCATTACTTACATTTTATCCTCATACGTTGACAAATGAAATGGTGTGATCTACTGCATGGTTCATCATTCCAACGGCCATAGTAATTCTTATATTGCACACAATCCTTATTGCCACCTTCGTTGTTTGGCTCTTCAGGACCCCAATTTATAAAAGTAGGTTTTACATTATGGACAGTATAAAATTTATTGTCGCTTTCATTGCGCAATAAACCAATAAAAGGATATGTAAGTTTTCTTCTTTGTGAAAATTTGTAAATGGCGTCATTTTCAGCTTTATTTTTTGGAACAGCAAGAAATCCTCCCTTCTTTTGACAATTTTCTTTTGCTTTTTGCCAAGTTTTTTTTGTTTCACTGAAGAAATAGCAAGATGATCGAAGCTTTACCCAGTCACGTGGACAACTACTCCCATTGTTAGCTAAGAAAAACAGAAAGCCTAATGCAATGACTCGATTAATAAAATAGTCATACAATGCTCAATGAAACAAATTGCTATACGTCAATACGTTGTATATTTTTTAAATTTATTGTTTAATGTATTAATGTTTGTCTCAACCTTGTTACATAAGTGCATCTGTACTGACGTCGAACTTTTTTATGACTGTCGATGAAGCGAAAGATATACTGGAGATGGAGTTTCTTGTAAAGTCAGATTTTTATATTTCGTATTGACGTAATAATTTATTTTATTAAATATAATTTCATTACTTACGTTTCATTCTCAATCTCTTACCTTGACAAATGAAATGGTGTGATCTACTGCATGGTTCATCATTCCAACGGCCATAGTAATTCTTATATTGCACACAATCCTCATTGCCACCTTCGTTGTTTGGTTCTTCAGGACCCCAATTTATAAAAGTAGGTTTTACATTATGGAGAGTATAAAATTTATTGTCGCTTTCATTGCGAAACAAACCAATAAAAGGATATGTAAGTTTTCTTCTTTGTGAAAATTTGCAAATAGCGTCATTTTCAGCTTTATTTTTTGGAACAGCAAGAAATCCTCCTTTCTTTTGACAATTTTCTTTTGCTTTTCGCCAAGTTTTTTTTGTTCTACTGAAGAAATAGCAAGATGACCATATATCCATCCAGCCACGTGGGCATCCTCTGACTTTGTTATGTAAAGCAAACAAGAAACCGTATGCAGTGAATTAATGCGTCAGGAAGAGAATATTTAAGTGGGGTTTTTAGCTAACACCAAAAACTGCTTTGGTGCGAGTAAATAAAAATTGAAATCTATTAATTAGCATTCTTAAAGTTGTTTTCAGTCACGTCATTTTAATGACAATTCTCGACCTAAAACTGCTCGGATGTTTGCTAACATTAATTTTGCTGTGTAGAAACAAGAAAAATTATAAAAATCTCTGAAACTCTAAATGTGTTTGTTTTACGTGATGCTTTCAGAGTAGACAGAATCGCAAAAAGTTTAGAAAACATAAAAACATTGATTATTTCAGTACTTACATTTTTGACAAATATAATTGTTACGGCTTGTGCATGAAATGTCATTCCACTTGGGTTGAATAGGATAAAATCGAACACAATCCTCGTTACCACGACGGTTATTTGGTTCTTTAGGACCCCAATTTGTGAAAGTAGGTTTGAAATTATGGACTGTATAAAATTTATTGTCGTTTTTATTGCGCAACAAACCAATAAAAGGGGTTTTGATTTGTTTTTGCCGGACTTCATGAAAAATAGCGTCATTTTCAGCTTTATTTTTTGGAACAGCAAGATCTCCCCCTTTCTTTTGACAACTTTTTCTGGCTTCATCCCATGTTTTTTGCGTTGTACTGAAGATATAGCAAGATGACTGTAGCTTCATCCAGCCTGAGGGACAACTACTGACTTCGTTAACTAAGACGAACAAGAAACCAACTATACATCAACAACATGGAGTTTGTAGCAGAGCTTGACAGCTACCCCCTCTACAAAATCTCTTACTTTGTAAAGTGTAAAAGTATAAAAACCCACTTTAACAAATACTTATATTTGATAAGAATGGATATTTCTTATGGAGACTATTTCTAGTCTCACTTATGTTCCACTTTCATTTTTTAGTTGGCGCTAGATTGATCAATTATAGCGCGTTCAGACTGAATGCTGGAGTACGATAGCCTGGTTCGGACAAAAATCTGCAGGCCGTTCACACTACGTAGTACCCACTAGCTTCGTCTTTTTATAATTTCATGTTTTTCTTTGTAAACAAGCTTTAAAACCATGTGCTGAATACGTGCTTCTCTGTACACGTTACTAAGGTGTCGTCGTTAACATTGATGCCCTTGCTCGAGCACCGTACTTGGGTACTACCTCTTTTCGTGGTGCCCAAACCTGGCCACTTATACACGGCCACCATCAAAATGTTGTGCTCACATTGGTACCCGTGCCTGAGCACCGTACTTGGTACTACCTCTTTCGTGGTGCCCAGACCTGGCCACTTATACACGGCCACCATCAAAATGTTGTGCTCACATTGGTACCCGTGCCTGAGCACCGTACTTGGTACTACCTCTTTCGTGGTGCCCAGACCTGGCCACTTATACACGGCCACCATCAAAATGTTGTGCTCACATTGGTACCCGTGCCTGGGCACCGTACTTGGGTACTACCTCTTTTCGTGGTGCTCAGACTTGGCCACTTATACACGGCCACCATCAAAATGTTGTGCTCACATTTGTTGCCCGTGCCTGAGTACCGTCTCAGGGGACTCGGTCTGAACGCACTATAATAAACTTTACAAACGAAATAAAACAAACTTTGTACATTGAATGATTACTGATAACTTTTAAAAAGCAGCTTTGCTATACTGGGACCAACAATCTGATTCTGTAACCTTCTTCCCCCCTCCCCCATTTTCTAACCTCTCCTTGGCCCCTGCATGATGATATCTGCATCATTAAGTAAAATATTTCATAAATTCATACCTTGTAAATTGAACACGGGCATCATCAGAAGAAATGTCAAGCGAAACATTTTCAAGCCACGATGATTTTCAATGATACAGTTTGAAATCTGTCGACAATATCAAACATATTACATAATTACACGCAGAACAGCAACGGACTCACATTTCCCTGGCAGTAGCTGAAATTGTCATGCAAGCCCCACTATCTATACCTATATCAATACCACCTTTTTCTTTCGGTATACGTAAATGATATAATCACAGATCTCATGTAGAGATGATTGTTTTTTTCTCGCTCACGGCAAACAGAACAGTTACATATTCAATTTACGAAAGACGTCGAGGGAAACTGAGCTCCTTCTTACAAACTACAAAACACACTCCACCAAGAACCGACACATGTGGATCTAATACTCGACTAATCATCTAAACAAATCTACATCATACAAAGCTACCATACAGAACATTACGAGACGAGCACAATACCTTTGAACGAAATCATCGAACGATTTTCACCACGAAAATAAATGAAACAAACACAAAGAATGACACCATAAACACAGCATTCGGAAATAATAGCAGTCAACAAACAGAATTAGACCATTAATCAAATGACAAGGAAAGCAACGTTAACGTACGTCCAAGCTAGGTGAACTATGTCTGAGAGAATCTCACGTATATATGATGGTCATAAAAAGAACATACGTGTCACACATAAACGGAAAACAACCAGACGAGCAACAAGGCGAAGTTTACAAAATAAAGTACTCCCCGAGTATAGCTAGGCCACCTACCTCGACACACTAAAGATAAACAACCAGACGAGCAACAAGGCGAAGTTTACAAAAAAATACCCTCGACTATAGCTAGGCCACCTTCCTCGACACACTAAAGATAAACAACCAGACGAGCAACAAAGCGAAGTTTACAAAAAATACCCTCGACTATAGCTAGGCCACCCACCTCGACACACTAAAGATAAACAACCAGACGAGCAACAAGGCGAAGTTTAAAAATAAAATACTCCCCGACTATAGCTAGGCCACCTACCTCGACACACTAAAGATAAACAACCAGACGAGCAACAAGGCGAAGTTTACAAAATAAAATACCCCCGACTATAGCTAGGCCACCCACCTCGACACACTAAAGATAAACAACCAGACGAGCAACAAGGCGAAGTTTACAAAAAATACCCCGACCTCGACACACTAAATATAAACAATCTACAAATACAAAAGATATAACAACCAAATGGCTCAACATCACCAACGAACAAAATATAATATTTACTACAACACATAACGGTGCATGCATAACGGTGCTGTAGCAACGACTAAAGTGTACAGACTACGATTTATTACATGTACTATACAGAATATTATACATACGTTTTATGTATTAGAAATTTGTCTTACCAACACAGCAAAACCGTTGAACCGATCAAAACATTTATACAAACGGCACAATCTCAAACAAACGAGCAAATAAGAAGTACACACTTGAAAATAAACGGAAAATAGACAACAACCAGTACGTCGGACACCCACATATTTCCTGTAGATACAATATTATGACTTTAAGGTGCCCCTGTCAAAAAAATGAAACTCACACATATGAATCTTTGTAATATGTACATAATGAAAATGGAAATCAGAATTAAATTAAAACGATTTTTGCCGAGTTATTGCGGTATGAATTGCAAAATTTTCAAATTTTAACGGCAAAAGTTTTTTAAAATCGCGAAGTCGGACACCTGGTAACTAATACGTCACAGTAGGAACCGGTTCGCATCTCAGCTTGTTTACAAATAGTAAAAATTATTGTACAAAGGTCGATATTTACAATCAAAACTCGCTCAATTTTTCTAATAATGTCCTCATCGAACTCAGACACGGAAAGTACTAGCTACCAAACAGACGACTCTGATTGGAATTATTATCCCGGGATATTCGATATAAAAGACAAGTGAAGCGTCCGCTACTAAAGACGACAAAGCGCAGATGACAACGCAGACGTTGGCCCATACAGCAATGAACCAGTTGCTGATGAAGAATGGCTTTCTAACTACCGTGGAAGAAAACAAAATATGATGACCGTTTGAAAGAACTTCAACGTAGACTTGACGGCGAAGAGAAATATAACCAATGGTAATTATTTGATGGTTTTGTAATATAATTCATCGGGATTTCTTTTAAATGAAATTTACAGTACAGAGCTTCTTTATTAAGTTTTGAAAATAACGTTTTAAGGTGTAAATGTGGCAATTGTCGAGTTGAGCTTCTTCACAATGTTAAAGAGTGTCAGTGTTGCACGGAAATAGAAGAGTGCGAACAAGCACTGAATAGCGAACTCGTTTTGCAAGAGCTCAACACTGAGAATCCTCCGACTTGCATTGTCAACCATCCTGGTTTTCATAGCCTGTGCTTAGACAAGTGGTCACTTCGTCTAGCAGCTGCAAAGTTACGTACTAAGAAAAAGCAGGAGTACCGTCAAACAAGCACAGAAGATAAGTAAGTGCATTATTACTTTGAGATTCAGCTCTGTGCTGAATGAAATCTTCGTCATTCAGTATATTGCACTGAACACCTACATAATAATAAACAAATCGAACAAGTTAATTTAAAAAAGTTTCATAAAATTATCATTTAACATAAAATGTCTTCTTTTAATTCTATTGCGTGAGTTTAGCAATACAGCTATAATAACCGGCACCACGGCTGATAAATGCCGGAAATATTATACGGGTTTCCCCTGTAGTGAAAACACGAAACGTGCGCAGTACTTATGTGCCAAACACGATACCTTTAGAACGTTTGGCTTCATCGTATTTTGCTTTCAGAGCTACATATTTGTTCCATGTTTTCCTTTTCTCTTTCAGTAGGTACGCACAACCAACACAACCATCTGTCTGAGTCAAAGCGCTGTTTGTCTAAAAGAAAAAGTCTTTCTTAAAATGTATGCATAATGTCAGTAGGGGTCAACATATGTTTTGACAGAAAAGCTCACGAATGGCAAGTCAAATTGTAAGATCGCACTATACTAGCAGGAATAAAGGTATATACTATATACTTTGCTGCAAGGAACATCGCTTGGTATCTCTTCATCCACATTTAATTCCATTGGCACGCAGTGTTCGAAATCCTCTGGCTCTTCTTCTGATTCTCCTGGTCGAGACAAACTTGTGGACAATGCTTCCTTTAAAACCTTTCGAAAATGTCAACAAATTTATGTACAAAACAGTGATTCTCAAAATAGGTTCATGTGTATTTTACTGTATTTACCATGTTTTAAAAAGCGTGCGTTAATCTCTTGAAATGGAATGAATAAACTTACCCTTCTCTTGGCTCTTGCTGACGGGGGACATTCAGCTGCAATATTATATTTAGGGACTGCCACGACGCCAATCTCATCGGTAGCTAATCTAGGTACTTTAGCCGACAGACCAGAAAACATTTGGGAAAAATCTTCTTTTGCGAAATGCGCTGAGCAAATACTGGAATTAGGTGTTGGATCCCATTTTGCCCGTTTCAACCGTACGAAATCAATCCATTGTTTACGTCTTATTTTGGCTTCTGGCCTTTCATCTCCGGAAACGGTATGAAATGAAGCGAGACTCCTTTTTTTACATTAGAGACATTAGAGCAACCAGCCACAATACATCTATTTGGCATTTTCTATTTTGCGTGACTTTTTCGGGCCGCCAACTACAGTACAAGAACACTTCGACAATACACGCTCTAATGTTTTCGTGGATCAATAGGCCTGACCGGATCCTACTGTGACGTCACTAGACTGATTTGGTATCAATCTCTTATGTGCGGTTTTCGAATTTTTACTTCTCAAAATTCTATGTTCAAATGACTATAATTTCTGCACTAAATTCAGAATCGAAATTCGATTTTCAAATAACGCATGTACGTATTACAAAGATTCATATATGTGAGTTTCATTTTTTTGACAGGGGCACTTTAAACCATACGAAAGAAGCATGAAATGTGGCGAAACCTGACGTTTATGAAATGATTATCGCTAGATTTCGTTCAAGTTAAATCAGTTGTGCGACTGTGTAACCTTTCCTGTTAAAATATGAGTTACTCAAAATTCAAATCAATCATAAAACTTGAATCACTATCGCATTCCACTTTTATAAAACAAAATTGCGATAAAGCAAGTTTTATGATTTAAAATTTTCATAAAGCAATTTACTTATGAAGCTGCAGCTACACTATAAGTTTAACTATATAATAAACATGATTGAATTAAATAGTTATGTTTTATATCATTATGACACGGATTATGATTGATATACGACAGTAAATACTTCTTACGGCAGCAAACTTTTACTAATCTGGATGATTTCGTTTTAAAATACATAAGGACACACATCAATGGATTTTATTTGAAAATTTATAAACGTACAGACAGTACAATAAAATGAAAGTATTTAAAATAGACTAATAGTATACATTCTGCTTTACATAATAGAACCTATAACTGCTCGTTTATGACGCAGGCTCTTCTTTAAGAGTTGCTTAGGAAAAGCAAAATGAAATTGCAAAAGTTTAATTAAATGTGTATTTCTCTCAAACCTTTTCCAGAGGCAGGCATCAAGCTTATTAAAAACAATGGGTTTATTTTGCTTAAGTCTTGTTGCCGTGTTTATATAATCTAAAACACTTTAAGTTCGATTGATTTCTGTGTTGTTCATTAAAGACTGAAGTTGTGTTCGAATTGCTTGTAAAAACACGTCCATACTTTGATAGTTACGTAGTCGCAAAGCTTCATCAGCCTAAAAGCAATAAAAACAAAAAACAATGAACAGGATTTAAACGAGGTTTTACAATGTAATAATACACTATAGTCATTACGTATCAGATCAGGGGCCGGTTGTATAAAAACGTAGTTAACTTTAACTACAGTTAGCGCTAACTACCGTAGTTAACTCCTTAACTGTAAGACAATGTCAGCGAGTTATGTGCACTAATCTTAAAGAAGTGGCTCTATCTCAATTGAGAGTCTCGCTTATGAGTTGCAAAGAGCTAACGGACGCAAGGAAAGATAATACAAAATGCAATTGCTCTTGTGTAAAAAAGGATTTGTTACGTGGATAAATTGTTGGCTGTTTTTCGTCAGCAAAACTTGGGATGTTTTACAGCACTGACGAATGTAGTACATTGTCCATAAAGCTCTTATTCTAAAAGCCTTTGCCATGGAAGATACATATGTGATTAAAAACTCAAGGTAAAACCTTGTTGATCAACAACATCTCGCCCATAATTGTCTTTGAGAAGGTAAGCCGCCATATTTAACTGTGTTTTGAAAAGTTAACTATGCTCCATAGCATTGTTAACTTTAACTACCTTTTAACTGCATTTAGCGCTAACTACTTTTTTATACAACTGACTTAACCGCGTGGTTAAATTTAACTACTTTTAACTGCAAAAGTGTAGTTAAAAGTAGTTAAGAGCTTTATACAACCGGCCCCAGTAATTTATTCTAACCAGAGCAAATTTAGAAGAGGAATTCGGCAACACTGGGCGTTAGGAATCACGTGTAAAAAAATAGTAACACGTGACCAATATCCCAGCTTTAACAATACAACAACGGCATTTTAGGGCAGTTACATGATAATGCAAAATATAAATCGGACTACTTGCTCAAGCAAATGCTACTCCGTGAGCAGAGATACTTTGTTTGCAAAATGAAATTATAAAATAAAGCAATACTTACTTTTTCTTTTTCTTTTGCATATTCTTTCATTTCTTCTTTCAATTGGTCTTTAATAACAACAGCTGCATGACGTGATTTTTCGCGTTCTTCGACCATTGTTTCATTCAAATTGCTCTAAATAAACAAAAATATTTATAAATTTGTTTGTTTGTAGGGAGCTAAACATATATCTTGAATGGGTAGCTCTGTCTGGAGAGATATGTGTTAATAGATAATGTATACAGATGTATACATGTTGATAGATGTATGTATACAGATGTATTCTGGCAGATATTAATGTATACAGATGAATGTTGATCCATGGATGTATACAGATGTAGCTATGTTGGTCGATGGATGTATAAAGATTCATGAATAGAGATTTGTGTTATTAGGTAGCTATAAACAGATCTGTTTTTATGTAGATGGATGTACAGTGGTGTATGTTTGTAGATGGGTGTAAAGAGATGTCTTTAAACTCAAACATTATTTATATACAGTCACCATACATCTTTGTATATCAACATACATTACGTACATCATGGTATATCATGGTATATCATTGTATATCTATCGAAGCACATGTAAATTAACCTTAGCTTCTTCTTTCTGATCTTCAACAAACTTTGAAATCAAATTTTTCGTTTCCTTTCTTTCCTGACAAAGATTTTCTTCAAATTGTTTCTATAAAATGGAAAAAAAACAAAACCGCGTTGGATGGACTTTCGTTAAAGTACATATATTACATTTAGGAAGGGTTGCCCAACCATGAATATTAAAATAAACATATTTCTAATACACATGTATCGACTTAGGCACCTTACATACGACATGATAATATAGCAGACAATAATCAATCGACTGCCTTTAAAATATCACAAAGGCAGCGATCTTTCTTGTACGTATAATTTAAAAATACACATCCCAAGAAACTGCATCTTACCTTTACTGAAGAGATCATAGACTCAAACTCTTTCTTCTGATTGAGTAGCAATTCGTCAGCGGCAGCAACCCCGCGGGCGCGTTCTTCCTATATTACGATACGCCATGTAAAATAAAGATACATTATACCATGAGATGTAAAGTCTTAACTTCAGTTACAAATATTCTAAATTATACAAACCTCTAAGGCCTTTTCGAGCAGTTCTTGATTTTTCTTTCTCTCCTCTTCAAGACAATCGTTCAATTTTTTCTATTGATTATAAAATCATTTTCAAAAATTAATCCATCTACTTGAATGAAGTAATTACATGTATGAAGAATCATTATTCGCAAAACAAAGCACAATAGTCTTTCCGAAATGAGGACGACGAAATTCACCAATGAGAAATAAGGGTTAGAATCGCATAGATGGTCGAACTACGATTTATAGTTAATCTTTAAGTAAAAAACAGACGAACCATGAATTTGAGCGACTTTGCCTAAGAGTTATTGTTCTTTTTTTCTCAATAATGCTGTATAGTTATACTAGCTACAGCCTAGAATTCTAACCTCATATTTCGCCTTTTGTTCTTCTAAAGCATCTTCAATTTTATGCAATCCTTTCGTTTGTTCCTCGACAACCATAAGTTTCAAAGTTTCGCCCTACAGTCACAAGAAATGAGATTAATGTTAACAACGTTTCAAAAGCATCAAAGATCAAATCTTAAGATGCATCAAGGAACCTTCATGATCAAGTACGGGCCGAAATGTGACTCCGCTCCGGTATAAAAGAAAAAAGTAGACTTAAATTTGTAGTGCAGTTTTTAAGAACATTTATTATTACAGCTTTATGCAGTATAATGAAAGCTACATATATCTTTAATGCATTTGTTCTCTTTTTTACGTCAAATCCCGTGTTAGGTCACCTGCTTCTAGGCAACAAAAACTCTTCAATAAAGTAAATGGTTTGAACCCGGGAGTATCGTTACATGTTTGTAAATGTAGATCGTCCAGGTTGGTATAGTCCTGAGAAGGACTGTTTTTGTTATTGACTGACGTTTCGACAACCTTACTGATGTTGACAACCTTACTGTTGTTGACTGACGTTTCGACAACCGTTTTGACAATCTTCGACTCTGAAGATGACTACCGCTAAGGTTGTCGAAACGTCAGTCAACAAGAACAAAAACAGTCCTTCTCAGGACTATACCAACCTGGACGATCTACATTTACAAACATGTAACGACACTCCCGGGTTCAAACCATTTACTTTAAAAACTCGTCAAGATAAAATTTTCGCCAAGTCAAATCTCAAATTCGATTCTACTACCTAAAGAAGCAGTTTCCCTGTCGTTGATACAGGCGCTTTGATAAGATGGGTTAGAGTGCATTCAAACATAATGATCTATTTTGAAAACAGTGGATGGCGCTGTAACTCATGCTAAGTAAAGGACGTAGTTCAACGAGTTCAAAAAATTTTAAATTAAAAGAATACCATCACTTCTTCGAAATTTCGAACACAGCAGAAAGTAATGTTCACAATTCACACTCAACAAAGACAATGATTGTGTGCACGTTTTTCGTGGGACGATCAATCACCTGATGCTTGATGAATTCCGTAAATTTATCTCTCTCTTCTTCAAGTATTTTATGTAAATGTTTCTCATTTCTCTCGCGTTCCTGTGATACAGCTGTTGTCGATAATGCCTTTCAAAATAAAGACGCAATTGAAAATAAATAACAAGCCATTTTCTACGAAAGCACTTGACAAAATATCGAGATGATTATTGCACGTTAAATCAATCAATACTTGTCGGAAAAAGGAAATTTAAACCTTGTATTCTTGAACTATTAGAGCAAATGACTCTTGTCCAGCTTCCCTCAGTTTCTTAACTTTTTCCTCGTGTTCGTCCTAACAGAAATCACATTTAAACATTTGAGCACAACATACGTAAAAGAAAGAATGCACACTATATAATAAGTATATTAACAGGTAGAGTAGAGCTGTTGAATGATATGAAAATCTCACCTGCAACTGATCGTACATTTCTTTCTGTTTTTGTAATTCAAGATACTGATCTTTTGCTAGCTGCGTGGCTTCGGTATACTTAGCTTTCATTTCTTCCATGTTCTTCCATATAAAACCAAATGTATTAGTAACATAACATGGATATTTATTTTAATCACTTAATGGTAAACAGTTATTTTACAAGTCTTAATAAACCTTCAGTGAAACTCTGCAATACTGTCAATGAAAAAGCACTATTTAAAGGCACAAAAAATGTTTGTAAAACACGTGTAATATAATATTGTGCGAGGAAAATTACTCGACCACAATCAAAGTTAAATCATTTAATAATAATTTCTAATTGCAATATATTCCATTTATTTAGTAAAGAAAGTACTACTTGAAACCATTTTTCCTATTTTACCAAGAGTTACGGATATGTAACTTATGCAACTTACATACACATGGTTATGCTGTAACATTGCCCTACTTACGTATGTAGACAAAAAATACTACATACAGGCATTTTTCTTAAAGCATGAGATGGCAACCTACCTTTTCCAATCTGATTTTTTCTCTTTCTGCAAGAGATAACTTCTCTTCGGATATCTGTAATTTTTCTTCATAATCATTTACTTTACTTTTTGTTTCTTCTAATTCAACTTTAACATTTTTTAGTTCAGCTTCATGAACAGCACTGCGACTATCCCCAGTTCTTTCTCTGCTTGGCAATGGTGGGGCTGATTGGCTTACTTGTACATTACTTGATGTCATTAACACCTCATTCAATGGAAACTCAGTTCTTTGAGGCAAAGCGGACCCTCGGCTGAAACCTTTGTTTTATGCTAGAGATCTCTGAAGGTTGTGCTTGAACAAGACTTGTTTGTAACTGAGAGTCTATTTTACTTGAAAAATCTTGTGTTACTCGGTTACCTAAAGAGCTACTTTGAGGTGCAAATCCTTGACCTGGGTCAGCAATTTTGAATTAGAGGATTGTTTTGAAATGAAGGTATATTGGTAGCACTAGATTTGAGTACAGCATAGTCACCCCCATCATTAAATACAGCAGAATTAATTGGCTGGCTGTTGACAGAAGAATTGTTGGATTGTTGAGACGATGTTGCAGGAAATACTGTAGCCCAAGGAATTGTAGCAGATGCAGAAGAATTGCCAAATATATTGGATGCCGGTGATGCAGACTAAAATGCATAATAAAGAACATGGTTGAGTAAAAACAAGAGAAATAAAAGATGCAGAACACTAAAGACGATGCTACCTAAGTTCAAACAAATATCATACTTAGCTTTTACCACTAATGTCTGGTTAAATGCAAAGGTAGGAGTATATCACATGACTAACATAGTGATCACATCGTCAATATTTTAATTAATTTGGACAGCGAACATTGAAGTAGCACAGAACCTACTTATGTACTAATTAGCAATAGCACAGGCAAGACCATAGCCAGCTCGATAACTGGGGGGAGGAATATTTGTATATTCATGTTCTTCCATAACAACTTCCTTTAAGATCTGCCGATTATAGCATGCATATACAAAGATTCTCTGCCCCCCCAAAAAAATTATCGAGGTTAATACAACACTGACCACAGGCAACAACAAAACATGCTTTAGTTTTATGAATAAAAGATTCTTGTTATTTGTTAGATTGATGATATTCTTGAGCATCCTCATTGTACTAAGTGTAATTGAACATCCATGATGATGTAAATCTTGGATGTGAATTAATGAAGTAGTTTTATGTCTCTTGTCACATGTATGAACGTTATTATTAAATCAACTAATAATAGTTAATAATTATAAACAAAAAAGTTAATGAATTGTGTAAAGTTTATATGTACTTATTGTGATTTGCGGAACTTGAGCTAGGTCAATTTAGTTTGAAAAGGAGTTCATTGCTTTAAAGGTTATCACAGACATTCTCACTCAAATTTTCATTGAGAATTTTCACAACTTATGACGTAGTGTTTGACTGTGATTGTAGTACATGTTTTGATGTGTATATTAGAAATAAACAAATCTTAGTTAACAATAAAATATTACCAATATGACTACAGTTTTCGTAGATATTTACTTACCTCAAAGCCACCAAAATCTGCCCAATCATCATCTCCATTCTATAAGAAATATTATACTAAATGTTAAATATTAAATTTTGCAATACGAAGGTTAATTTGGTGGTTATATTCAACATTTCTTCGTGCAGTTATAAAACCACAGAAAGAAAGATAGATCACGTAAATAACAGAAAAATACGATTTCGAGGGAATTATGTTCTTAAAACTACTCATGTGTAAATAAAATTTATTTCTCTCATGAAATAGTACGTTTTTATTTTCTTTGGAGTCTCGTTTGTCATTTACTGAAGCTTATCAAAATTACACCAAAATTATACTTGAATACCTGATTGTTGCCACTTTCTGATGTATTGAAAGCATTCCAATTGTTGTCCGCCATTTGAAATGTATAAACGAATTAATAATAACATTGAAAAAACATTTCCTGTTTTTATGTCTTTCATCTATTGAATATTTATCTTTACTAGAGGTTGCCCAGGATTATAGTGCTGCCAGAAGAGCCAATATTCGTGTGTGTTTATATTTCCATGATTCCGTGATACAAAAGTACTAGTACTAAAAAAATAGCGTTTTTAAAATCTTTATCGAAAATAATAATCGAGTGGATGCCTTATTGTACAGGATCAAATGGATTAGGTACTCTGTAGAGTCAAAAATTTGCTACCAATCTTGACATAAAGGTTTTCTACACAACAAAATATTTGCATGCGTTAAGCTCAGCTTGGAAAATTGACAATGATGACTTGAATCAGCTTTTTATAATGAATGGAGTGCAAAAAGTACTATATAGATGACTTGACTAATGACACCAGAAATGAACGTGAATATTAGATTTTCCTTGACATGAAATGTTGAATGATGATTAAAACATGAAAGTCGAAACTGAAACAACAGTATTGGATAACACCAAACAGGAACAATAACGATTGAGAATTATTTATATAGTGGAAAATATTTTTAGAACACCCCTAGAGTCACATTGGCTTACCACTGCAGAGTACCAAAGTACAGGTCTTGGCTTGTGATGACGTAGTTTCACATATTCACACAAATATTGTTAGTCACGGGTAATTTTTTTCTACTTATGGGATTTTAAAATACATTCTAGTTCAAAGTATTAAGTAAATTGGAACAATCCAGTTCATACTCGATAACGTAGAAATAATGGAGAAGGTATGGCTCAACCAATCACAGAATTATTGTGCTAAACTACACACTATCGCTAAGTCCTACAGAAGTACGAGTAACCATTTATACTAAGTCTGCAGGAGGGAAATAAACACATGCAAGCACAACCAAATAATTTTAAACAAAAACAGTCGACTAAGTATGTGAAAATGAAGAGCATTTACCGTGAATGTTGTGATTAATGCATAATGCAAATCTCAAGTACTGTATTAATTTCAATTGCGTTCGCACCTCCCTACGGGAATTAGCTAGTTTTTCCTGAATCATTCAATTATTAAACGCTTGTGATTTCAAAGACTTGCAGATTCTTAGGCCTTGTCCAAACGTCGAACTTTACATGAACCGAACGGATTTAAAACAAAAGATAATCAGGAAGTTCATCTCATTTTCTTTTGTCTTTAATGCGTTCGTTGCATGCAAAGTTTACGTTTGAAACAGGCCTAAATCAGTCATTAAAAAATGGTAAGTTTAAGTAAGAACAATGATTGGCACACAGTACCAGCGTCAATTTATCGTCTATAACAAATAACGATATTCCCTAGTCACATTAAATATTTTATTATGTATAAACATATACGTCATCAGACTGGTTTTTAAAGACGTGAATTTGCGAGTTACACCCAAACTGGTAGATGGTGTGAAATGCAATGTGACTTTTAAAGTTTTCTGGTTTAAAATTTGACATTTAACTTTGCCACCGTAGAAGCAATATAACCCATACTTTGGCTGGTTACAAGGTGAGCGATTTTGATTGTAGAAAAGAGAATCATACAAAAAATTCTTTAAGCAATTTACGGAAAGCCACGCGACTTAACATGTAGGTTTGATCATTTTAAAGTGCTTTTAAATTTAACCGTGCTTGTTTTTCATACGAGTACAAATAATTTTCCTTGAGCATTCTTCATACCTTTGATTGCGAAGACTTATATCATGCGGAGTCGAAATTGAACTTATGGTTTACGGTTTCTGATTCTGTTCAATATAAACCATTTTGCTATGTGAATACTTTAAGCACAAGGACATTTTGATAGCGTCCATACCGCTTTAGAATCGCATTACAACCTATACAGCAATTTTTAATGGCAAAGTCAGGAGAAACTTGTTAATGTTTAGGCATGTGATATGAAACTTTCATGAAAGTGTACTTCAATTCTCACTCGAGGCAACAAAGGGATGAGAAATAGCTCCCTATTTATTTTCAATTCATTTTCTTGAAACAGATAATCAAGCGAGTCAATTTTTTTTAAGATGAACAACAATGAAGCATAGTTGTCGCAAATTGATGATAAATATAGTTTTCATTCGAAAATATAACGCCTATGAAGATGTTGAAATGCATACAGAAATATTTCACACAGAAATGCTGCATATAAGAGTAAAATCCAACTAAAGGTCAACTACTTTCAGTAGGAGATCACCAATTCATCTTTACATGTTTGTGATCAAAGCAAAAATTATAATTTTCATTTTTTCATTCTTTGAGTCATAAAGAGAGTTTTAAGAAAGAAAATATCCTTTATTCTTACATGACATAACTTTTTATAATTTTAGCCAATCAAAGCTTGAAGAAATATATACATTCAGTCACTACACAGCATTGAGTATATGCCAATGAAGTCAATACAGCATGTTCTTGGCTCAAAGACGTTTGAACTTATCATGCACACCAGATCTGACAATTTCCTGAAAGTGAAAGGTAAGCTGTTTAGGATTAAACTAAACAAGTGAAAATATTTCAATTTCTACAAAGACGCCAGCAGCACGTAAATTTGATAGTTACGTATTCCTTTCTCCTTAACCCTTTTGTGTTTCTGGGCTGGTTCATTTGTGTGTCAGCTTGGTTTTGAATTTGTAACTTCCTTAATGGTATGAAGAGGATAAAAATTTGACATTGTTTTCGAAAAAATAACGTTAGGTAGTGGCTAGGTTGCCTTAGAAAATTCTGGCTAACTCAATCAGTAAGCACCGGAGAACTGCATTGCTTAAAATACTGTCATAGCTACCGAGCGAGATACATTGCTGTAGTAAAATGACGTATAGCAACGATGCTGTCTTTATTAGTGATTTGTTTTTATTTAGTATTACTGTAACTCGTTCCATGTCTTTAACTGTAAAGATGTGTTTCATGTTAATGCTATCGAATATTTTCATTCCTTATAGACAAGAATATCTCTGGATTTCTTAAAAACCTATTCAATAAAAGCTCAGATCCCTTTCAACGAAATGAAATCTTACTAGAAAAATATGGTACAACAGAAAGAAGTAATAGTGGCTACGAAGAAAATGATGTCAAATGGTAAGATATGACAGAATGTAAATTTCTATTCCCTTTTTTATAGCAAATTTCTAATGATTTCCTAGTATTATGTCTAAATCTTTTAACAAACTTCTTCCCTTTAGAGGAAAAAGTGATTTTTCTTCGTTTTCTCAACGAGCAGTTGTAAAGAGCAGAGCAAAATTGCCAATCGCAAAACGACAACTATTCGAAAGCATTCAAACAGAAAGATGTTAAATGAAATCAGAAATTAAGGTAGGAAACTCACAATTGACCTTCTAAGCTTGCCTTGACTTTGCAATGTAATGTGAAGCTGAATATTTATTGCTCTATGCAAAGACAATTTGAAACTTTAGATAATTCAACCAAAATTGTGTGAAGAAATACGATATTCATTACGCCAAATTTAAATTAACAGGAAGATCAGTTGAAAGGGACAATGAAACTAAGAGCATTTATTGTGATTAATTTGTGCACACATGAAAAAGAAACTAAATTCATTTTAAAAAACGAAATTAATATTTCACTAATCAATTTTTACAATTAAATTTATCATTTTACAATATAATAGAACGTAGCAATTACTATAGGGTAATGTGTTATAGTAATTTATATATGTCTTGTCGTTGTCCACACATCTGCTGCCTTAAGCCTTTGCTAGAATGCTTGCATGGTTAGACATAAATTCGTAAGTCATAAATGTTGTAAACAATGTAACTACCATCGCAAACATCTCAAGGGAAAGATGAATTGTATACTATCGTTTTACAAGACACAAGCCTGCAAAAGGACATGAAGAAGAAAATAAAAGAGAAGAAAATAAAAGAGCAAGATAATGACTTAGGTAGAACGAACGGATTGAATGAGAGTTTTTTTGGTGAACGTGAGAGCGATAGGTGGTTTCTATTTGCTCAGAGTGGTGACTTCAAAGTCACGGGACAGGACATTTTTCTTGTGGTTTTGGTCTTAGCTTTTTCTGTGTGAAAATAAGTCCAATCTTTATTCCACATTGTTGGTAGCGAGTGCAACATCTTCTAATGGGTGATACCTTGTTTGGATGCTACATCGATTCGTGCTAGCGCTGCGCCGTTTGTTGCTTGCGTGCTTCACCGATTAATTCTTGCGAGCGCAGCGTCGTTATTTGCGTGCTCACCGATTCTTGCGAGCGAAGCGTCTTTCGTTGCGCATCTTTGCTTCATCGTTTCTTGCAAATGCAGCGTCGTTTGTTTCCTGGGTGCTTTGTCCATTCTTTGGACTTCAACGTTAAACAACTTCTTACTTAGGCATGGTTCAGTGTTTCTTTCGCATTTTCAAGTGTGTGGTGAGATAGAATAAATAGAATTAGCTATATCAGACAGTGGGCCAATCATTAAGAAGAGTGTGGAAAGAAAAGGACATTATTCAAAAATGAAGATGACAGAGGACAGTCTTGTCAAGAACAACATTGGTGAATTAATTCAAGAGAAAACTTCATTTCTTTTATTACTGTAAATAAATAGTTACATACTCCATAGCGCTCTAGGACTCAAAGGCTTTATGCGGCAGATGTTGTAAATTTGTTTTGTATTGTGTTTTCTCCCCATGTTTAATGTGTAAGCTCGTCTTAATACCTTAACTTTCCATTCATCGAATAACTATTTAATTACAAAACCAAAGGTACTCAATGTATAAAGGTACTTAAGGTATAAAGGTACTCAAGGTATAAAGGTACTTAAGGTATAAAGGTACTTAAGGTATAAAGGTACTTATATATAAAGGTTCTTAAGGTATAAAGGTACTTAATTCTAAATTGGAAAATTTTCGACCACGTGTGCACAAATAAGTCACTTAAAATGCTGCAGTTGGCGCAAACGACTCAGTGAAGGGTGGCAAGTAAGAGAAAAGTCGTAGAAAAGCTGGACTGAACAGCAAGTGAATTGATACTGCGCCATAAGAACTGAATTTTAGTTACACTTACTCCGTCATGAAGTCTACATCGAAGTAATACCGCTGGTCACTTAAATTATAAAAGATGTGAGAACGTATACTCAAGCAAGATGTTTGCGTTTGGTGACGTAAGAGATACTCGTTTGTATAAAATTGCGTACTGGGAACGATAATATCACGCGTCAAGAACTCATTTAAAACCTTTGTATGATTATCTTATACGTCAACAACGTTCTCAATCAGGATGTTGAAGGTTACGGTGCTTCATCTACTTAAGGGACTATCGTTTGTGTAAAATTTGCATATACCTGGAAAGATAATGACGGATCAAGACATTTTTAAACATTGAATTAGATTATCTTGTACGTCAAGAACGTTCTCAACCAGGACATAAGAGCTATGGTGCTTCATCTGCAATAATAGACTATCGTTCCTGGAAAGTTGCATACTTGGGACGATAATGACGGATAAAGACTTTGTTTAAAGACTTTTTTTTGTGTTTCAACTGGTACATCGAGCTCACGCTAAAAGGATATTTCAAAAAGCTATTGCGCTTCATCAACCAAGGGAGTTTCATTTGTATGAAATTGCACACTGGGAAATATAATGATAGATCAACACATCCGCATGTACGATATCCTGGAACATAATTGAAATACGAAAAAGTTCATCAAAGCGTCACAAACCATCGCAAATAATTTGGTACGTATTATATACTACAATTAATTATCTTCATTCTCTTTAGTCATAAACGTATTATTTGCTACATTGAAATACGTATTATTTGCTACTTTGTAATACGTATTATTTGCTACATTGTAATACGTATTATTTGCTACATTGTAATACGTATTATTTGCTACATTGAAATACGTATTATTTGCTACATTGAAATACGTATTATTTGCTACATTGAAATACGTATTATTTGCTACATTGAAAGGCATATTTGCTACATTGAAAGGCATATTTGCTACATTGAAAGGCATATTTGCTACATTGAAATATCTTCGGTTATATAGCTGCTTGAGTAAAATCATAAAGACATTTATTTAACAAAACTATTCTCAATTTAGAGCATTACGTTTTCGACAAAAAGAAGCACCTTGAAGCCACTGCTGAAAATTTTTGAGGAGCAGTGGATTTCCTAAGACGACAAACAAAAAGGTATTAAAAATCTCTTAAATATACACCGATCAATTTCATAAGAGTTAATCATTGTGTCGGGAAAAAATGTTTTTCATTGGGAGAGCGTATTTTTAAGAAGATCGAACGGCATTTCATATGTCTCGTAACGTTGTATAACACCATCAACAATGGAAGTTAAAACATAATTTTTGTAATTGCCATGCAATGTTTTGTTTTAGAGTAAATGATAAAAAGAGTATTCGTATTTGCGTTATAATAACTTGGTGCATTTATCTCAAAAGTGTATTTTTTTCATTATTTTCATGTTAGCAACTTTGAGTTTCCTAAAACAAACTTTTTTATGTTGTAGTAATGAAATACAAGAAAATATGGTAGTGCATATGGTTGTATCACCTCGGTGTTATTTTCGTTGACATCACTGAAAAACAGTCGTAAGAGACGTCACGATTTTCGTCACCCGTACTATTGTTTTCAATAATTACCTTACATATGTCGTCAATTGCATCACCGATATCCATGGCTACCACAAAAATGTCCCGGATAACATTATGGCTATCGCCGTCACGTTATTCATGGTGCGTTATTGGAGCATCAACTTGTCTGAAAGTAAAGACTGGAGACGACTATTCAGGTGCAATGGTTTAAATTGTTTATTTTAGTTCTAATCCTGGTGATCAACATTAACAGGAATTGGTTGAATATTTAACTGAGCTGTAAAGTGAAGTCTAATGTTCTCCAATATGCCTGTTAATGACTTACTTGATTGATCAAATGCTTCTTGGCCTACAGTAAACTGCGCGCACAAAAATGGCGTCCGCGATTATCCGTCCGTTCTTATTTTTGTCTGTATTTTGATCACCAAGGATATACGATCTTAAGCTTGAAGAAATGTGCATGGGTTTCTTTAAGTTTAGTTCGTATGTGTCAGGTTTTACTTTAAATATTAAACTTTTAAACAAATAAACGTAACTAGAATTTAATAGTTAATAAAATAATATTTAGCTTTAATTTACTATCCTATAGCTATTGCATGAATGTTAATAATTACACTAACTAAAGTACCCTTTTACTAAAGTAAGATGGTTAAACACTTCGTATGGCGAAAATAAATGCAATGGCGTATTTTAAACAATAACTAAAATAATTTTAATGTCTGAAATATTTTTCTTGATGGTAGCAAGTTTCTTCAGCCAGCAATTAGCTAAATGTCTTTAAAGTCATTTTTTCAACCATGCAAAAAAAGTTCTTTCAAAAAATGTTAAGATAATATATTTCAGAAAAAACCTTTTGAGTAATAGCGTTGTCAAAGATATCAGAGCTCCATCGTGAAAAATATTTGTCTCATGAAAAGTCTATAGCAGCGCGGATGTTATAAACGTCATCAAAAATGGCTGAAAATGGCGTATTCATTTTTTTTTGAAAGTACCAGTTTGGAACTTTTTTTGCCAACAGGCAATTTTTGTGGTTTGTATGCTGCTTTGTTAGCCTGTGCAATGATGCAAAACCTTGTAAAAATAGAACACACAGTTTAAAGGAGTTTGTAACATAATTAAGGCGTAAAAAAACCTAGAACTGCATGAGTTGTTGTAAAGATAATGATAAATAATAGGGAGGCTCTCACGGCAGTTATACATCCAACCCGACATTGAATAAGCTTTTATAGCATATTCCATGTCTGAGGGTTTTCCTCCGGCGAAATGTTGAGCAATAGTTCAATACACCGGTTTCCCTCAACAACAAAAAAGGGTGGCCATGTATGGGACCTATTGTAAGGATTGCATGGTTATCGGGTTGGATTCCCGATCCACTCGTAAAGGAATTATACCAAAATAATGATGTTGCTATTTTTTCTTCGTTAAACAACAATTTTCATGTTCCATGCATTTGCCTTACATATATGGTAATATGAACGTTATCTCCTAGCTCAAATACAAAACGTTTCTTAAGATGGTTTATTTTTATAATTTAATCAGCTGTTTTCCGACAACTATTATCGATGTTTTCAGCATATTTCTTTGGCTTGGGTCTCATAAAGATCTTACGCATGCTTTCGACTCTAAGTTTAAAAAAACGGGATGCCACATATTTAGCCATAAAATATTGCCTTTGGTAAAGGCACATTATTTCTAAAAAAATGTTTTATTTACAAATGACCTAGATGACATGTGAATCATAAACGTTCGCAACACAAATTTGTTATCAGAAACATTAAAATCAAAAGTTTCTGAAAATGGTCGTAAGCACAACTGTCCAAAAACCTAAGCTGTAAAAGGAAGTCATCTGCATGGAATCAGTATTTTGGCTTGGTGAGATTACATATGGCTGTATTAACAAGAGCTGTGCATTAAAGAATGTCAGAATCTCTGAGTTTAGGTTACTCTTTCATTCAAATCGCACATTGCTCTTTCCTAAAGAATCATCACGTCAAGTTTTGCAGTTTAAGATTTTGCACGCATTGTCAAAGTTTCTACTTCACATCAGCGCTCTCCGTTTCAGCTGTCAAGCAATTAATTCCATTACATCTGCACGATCATCTACCATAATTTATCCAATTCTTAAAAATAAATATCAATAAGATCAAATTCCTTTAAAAATTGTCCAATATGGCAATATCCCATTACGTCTTGTGCCCTCTGAAATATTTAAATTATGAATGCGTATATATACTGTTGAAATGTATGTTACCGAAATGGATTATTTAAGTTTGTACAACGTACGTTTGAAGTGATAGTCTTTATAGGAATTGTATTTTCCATGTATTTTTTCAAGGTGACATAATTGCCATTTCTGTATTCACAGACAATAGCTAGTCAAAAGTACCTGAGAGCCTGTGATATTCGGGAGCTTAAATTTAAACACACTTGTTAGGCTGAAGCATTTAAACTTTAGCTGCTTGGTTTATAAATTTTTTCTTATAATGGCTCAGTGCCATACATGAATCTAAGCCAATCAAAGCGCACTTTGTTATCGGAAACGTTTGATATAAATCTTTTTATGTATCATCAACCTGACGTCTCTGAGCATGATAGAGGATATTGACAAGGATTTCAATAACATGATTTATAACACTAATGTAAACCATTCTACAAACAACTCAATAACCAAGCATATAGAATAGTTAATAACCCAAAAATTGAGATAAATCACGATTACATATACCCCAAGAATAGGTTTTAGGCGTGTAT